ACATTCAATCTTACATAACTATTGTCATTCTCACGCATTCTCACTAATTAAATCATCTATAAGGTTATTATAGACTTATTATTATTATTATTATTATTATTATTATTATTATTATTATTATTATTATTATTATCGTTCTGTTAGAATGTTTTCAGAATGTTTATTTAGTTGTATTCTGTAAGAATGAAAATGAGGGAAAAACGATGTGTAGGAACAAAAATGAATAAGAATTAGTGAGAATGCAAAAAAATGATGATAGTTGTAGAAGATTGAACGTAGTCAAATTACTAAACAACCTATTCTCTTAGTAATTTTCATGGAATAACACTGTCCACACATCTGTATAATAATTGTCTATCCACATTATAACCTAGCCCTATATCTACACTAATAAATTCTACTCTAATAAATGAGGGTTTTTTTTATCACATATCACACTCTTATTTAATTTGTCAAATGTCATTTTATGGTTATTTTGAATTAATTTTTTTTCCACATGTCATTTTATAGATTTTTATATTTTAATAAATTCCACATAATAATTGAATGTAATAATTACAATAAATATAGTAATAAATGAATAGCAATTTCATTAATGGACTTTATCTTTTTATTTCAAAATTCTTAAATTAAAGTTCATTAGTTTATTTTGTTTATTTGTTTAAATTTAAAAGATAAAAAAAATTAATTTTATTAATTCATTATTTTTCTTATTTTTTTATAAATTCAAAGTTCTTAAATATTTAGACGTTTAATTTTTTTTTTTAATTAACACATGTAATAAATGGGTCTTACACCTACTATATATATATATATATATATATATATATATATATATATATATATATATATATATATATATATATATATATATATATATATACACACACACACACAACAACAACAACAACAACAACAAAACCCCAAATCCTAGAGGGAGGTATTATGGTTGACAACTTTAGTTGTTTCCAAAAAAAAAAAAACTCCACTCAAGAAAAATAAATAAATAAATAAAAAGTTATACAACATAGGGCTGTCAAATATGTATCATGGAGAACCAACCAACATGTTGTCAATCGAACCAAGAAAGTTGGTTACCAATATATTTGATAGCCATCATGTTTGGTTGGTAGTACCGTACTAATTCAATAAACTTGGTACAGTAATGGTATTAAATTTTAAATACCATGATATTACCGTACCAACCCATTCATATATATATATATATATATATATATATATATATATATATATATATATATATATATATATATATATATATATATATATATAATCGAAATTTTAAATGTCAAACGTTTACTGTTTACGATTTTAAAAAGTATGATATTAGACATCAGACTTTGTCAATAGTTATTACCACATTAGATTAAAAAACCGAAATGTTACTTATTAAAATTTTTTAGTAACTAGAATAGTTAATTTACTAATTTATATTACTAGACGATAAAAGTGTCTCATATCGTTATTAGTCTTTAACTATTACAATGGCAAATTAGAAAAAAGTTGGTAATATACCATTAATAATTTGTACCAACCAAACTTATTGGTAGGCAAACACGTTGGTACCAAGTATAGTTGGTACGGTACTGGTAGTAAAAAATTTATACCAATTATAGTAGGTATGGTAGACGGTTTGAGTAAAAATCAATTGGTACCGTACCATGTTCAGCCCTAATACAACATAGTGGAAACCGCGTAGAACATGCATATTGCAATAATCATCCCTTCAATATCAAACAATACATAAAAAGAAATTGATATACTAAATTAAATAGATCGAGGATCAATAGTTAAATCTTAAAGGAAGATATGAATAAATAGTGAGATTGAGAAATAGATAGTGCTATAAGAATCATACATACTAACAAAGTAATAAAATAGTTACAATATGGAAGGAATCATACCTTAAGGAGCAAATACCCATGGTAGACTCATAGGGGTAAAATACCCATGGTAGACTCATAGGGGTACAGGCAACGAAAATCAACTCGAAAAGACAACAAAATCAAGTAAAGTATGCTAAAATTGACAATAAAGCATGGAACAATCTTTGAAAAAATACTATGAGGGGAAAAACTAGGGGATACATGAACATAATAAGATGGGGAGAAACGTTAGGAAACAAGTAGAGCCAATGGTTACACATATAGGACTACTCAATCGCTACACCACTACCTTAATCCTATGCCTTTATCATATCCTCTGAAAGACCAAATTCAATCAATTCTAACATCGCACTATCAATATACTTCCTTCATGGCGACCTATCCTCCTCACACCATCGAAAATATTAGTCTCCACCCTCCTAAGCACAACATTTTGTTGTCTCTGACGCACATCTCCTCACCATCACATCTTTTTCCCCTTAATTACCCGGTGATTGCCACCACTCCTAACAATTTAATTGGGATTTAGTTAATGTGTGATTGTGTGTGTGTGTGTGTGTGTGTGTGTGTGTGTGTGTGTATATATATATATGAGTAGGATAAAAAAAACACCTAAAAGGTTGAGAACGCGAGAATAATTTAGGACGCTTAAATTTTCAAAATCTATGGTTGATGTTAATTGAGTAATTATTTAATTTTCCAATTAATTTAAACCTTTTCTATGTTGAAAATATACCAAAAGGATATAAAAGTAATTCCATCCTCAAACTTATTCCTTAAAATTAGCCAACGTTATCTCTCTTTACATACATTCCAACACTCCTTTCGAGAAAGAAAAAGAACCCTAATTGGCTAATTGTGCATTTTTCTCTATCCAGCATCTTCGTGTTCGGAAAAAATGGCGGACCACCACCATCAATGTCCACAACTAACATCATCATCGTACTAACTCACCACGACTAGCACTAACCGTCTGTCAACAACCACCACCACTCAAGACACCATCGTTCACGTCCGTCGTACCCATCGTCCCCTTCTCTTCTGCCCATATTGATATTCAGAACCATCACCGACGTCCCATTTCTTATTTTGTTTTCAAGCAAATGCATCAAGAATTTAAGTTATAGGTTTTCGTTGTGTACCCTTCCCCTTTCTCTTCATATGTATGACGTTTAGTTGCTTTAATTGATGATTATGAATCTCCTGATGGATTAGCAGATGCATCAACATTTTAAATTCTAGGTTTTGATTGATGGTTATAGAAAGTAATCTCTATTCTTGGTTTTAGAATCATGCATGCATTGACTCAAAAAGAAAAAAAATGATTCGGTAACATTGTCCAACACTTAAAACCTAACAATTTATCCTCATTTTTACTTATATTTGCTCTGAATATCTTATAGTACAGTTGTAACTGGAAAAGAATCATAAAGGTGAGTGTTGAAAGTAAAACCAAGTAAAAGTAGGAAATGTGATGCGCGATAATGATGGTTTATTCACTGATGATTCTGATTCTCTTCTCTCATAAGTCATACCTATGTGACTTTACCCGAAACCCCAAAATAAAGTATTTATTTATGGTTTTTATGAATTTTTGTTTAATGAATACATATTGTTTATATTTGAAACAAGACGTATCTTTATTGATGTTACTGTGAATATTAGTCCATAGTGAAGAATGATTATATTATTGTCGTGTGCTAAAATATATTATTCATCAATGAATTAGTATTGTTATTTATATATTTGAAGTATTTGGAGGAGTTTCAACCCATTAACCATTTAAGAATAGAATTGTCATCAATTTATAAATTTAGCTTTGTTCATTGATGAATATAAATTTGAACACATTAATCATCTTTGCATGAAATTGCATCATTAATTTATAAATTTAGTTTTATTCATTTGTGAATAAAGCTTTATTCATTTACGAATAAAGGTGTATGAATACATATATGAATATCATTTTATTATTGGTCTCAAAAATAACTTTGTCAAAGAAATTTTGTTGATGCTATATCGGTCAATGAATATTGCATTGTCTAAATATTTTTCTGCTAAATATTTTTTTTACAATTTTTGTTAACCTTGTTTTATATTGAAATGTTATTTTCGTTTTGTAGAAATTGAAGATGGTAATTGATGATGATAGTAGAACATGAATGATGGTCTAAGTATTATTTCGATCCGTATATATTAGTACCAAGAGTCCAATCATCGTAGTTGTAATCTTATACATGTGTATTAAGGAAATTTTTAATTGTGATCATAGATGAATAGATACTGATTGTATTATACTGAATGAAAAATCCAATCATCATTAAATATTAAGGAAAAATTGAACTTCTTATTCATTCGTAAATATAATTGTATCTAATAAAAATAGAATATAATTAAACATAAATACATTATGTTTTTATATCTTATCCCTAAAAAAGAACAAATTAACTTGTATGAAACGAATAACATAAATACTCTAATAACCATGATAATTTATACATATGTTCTCAAAGATTTTATATAATTGGTGAGAATATATTTTATCTTTTTATATTCAAATAAATAGAAACAGATGATAGTTTAAATCTTATTTGAACACGATCAAACAGAATAGAAAGGAAATGATGATCTTACTTTTTGGAATAAATAAGAAATTAAGAAGATATACTAAGCAATTCAACATACGAGATAAAGATGCGAATTGATTTTTTTGAATGTGATTTCGATAATTATGGAAACTAGATGATAATATCCCATGATTATAGGCAAAAAATAATTATGTTTAGTTATTATTAATTAATTAAATTAAACAATTACTAATGAATCATAATAATCAATTCTTTTGATCTTAAGGATCAAATATGTTCTCATATTCTCTCTTAATTTGGTCTCACATGAGGCATCATATATATATATATAATATATATATATATATATATATATATATATATATATATATATATATATATATATATATAACTTAGGTGTAATATTAGAGTTTTAATGTTGGTTCAAAGATTTTCTTAGAGTTACAAGAAACACAAGGAAGCTTCAATTTAGGCGTGAGCTCACTGTATCTTGTTCCGCAGTGGACTATATATTTCCACGATCTTCCGGGAATACTTCTTCTGTGTTGTTGATCTGTAAACATTTACAGTAAAGGAACATAAGTTATATATATATATATATATATATATATATATATATATATATATATATATATATATATATATATATAGAGAGAGAGAGAGAGAGAGAGCTAAGTTCAAATGTAGATTCACATCTATTGTGCGGACGTGTGGAGAATGTTATTCTGTGAGAATGACAAAGAAAATATTTTGTTTGATAATATAAATATGTTCAATCTTACATAACTATTGTCATTAACACACATTTTCACTAATTAAATCATCTATAAAGTTATGATAGACTTTTTATTATTATTCTCATTCTGTCATAATGTTGTCAGAATGTTTATTTATTGAGTCGTATTCTCTCATAATGAAAGTGAGTGAAAAACGATGTATGAAAACAAAAATGAATATGAATTACTAAGAATGCATGAAAATGATAATATTTATGTAAGGTTAAACGTATTCCCATTACTAAACAACTTATTATCTTAGTAATTATCATAGAATAACACTGTCCACACGTCTGCACAATAATTGTTCATCCACATTATAACCTAACCCTATATATATATATATATATATATATATATATATATATATATATATAATTGTAATACGTGAATATTTAGAATTTAGTCTATGTATATTAGAAAACTAGTTTGTTTGTGTCCAATAGGTCTTGTTAGCATGTTGGTAGAATGAAAACCAACCAACATACTACCAAGTTAACCAAGAAAGTTGGTAGTAAATATGTTTGGTAGTCCATATGTTTGTTTGGTAGTAACATACTAATTGAAAAATCATGGTACAATAATGGTATAAAACTTCAAACATCATGGTAATACCGTACAAACCATTTAATTTCTTTTATATATATATATATATATATATATATATATATATATATATATATATATATATATATATATATAATATGTTTGGTGTTTAAAATTTACAGAGCATGCTATTAGTTAGTTATTTAGCCATAGTCAATAGTTATTAACATATAAAATTAAAAAAGTGAAAAGTTATTTCAATAGAATTATTTAATAAACTGAAAGTATTACTTCACAAATTTCTTTACTAAACGACAAAATTGTCTCATGCATTCGTTGTTCTTTTATTTATTATAATTGAAAATTAAAAGAAATTTATGTATTAAATATCATTACCAAATTTGTACCAACTAAACTTGTTGGTAGCTAAAAAAATCCGTACACTTGGTACGATATGTTTTGATAACAAGAGGTGCAATTCAAATTCATCCGTTACAAGTTATTGCAAAAGGATATATAAGTATTTAAATTTGGCTAATGTAAAAATAAAAGGAACATTTATATTTTGTTTCTTCTTTACTTATATCATAGACTTATATCATAGTTACAAGAAGCACAAGAAAGAGTTGTAGTAAGTGAAAAGAACTCACCGTATCCGTTAAGTCTCTGCCGTGGTTCAACTGTAAACACCAAAGGCACGTGAGACATACATAGTACTGACATATAGAGCTTTTCAAAATGGAAAATCTTTGAAAAAAATTATCACTTATTGTAGGAGCTTTTTTTAACGAGTTTTCTCAAATAAGCTTTTTTACAATGAATTGTAAAATCGTTACAACTTACAAGTCCTTGTAGAGAGTTTTTTTTAATCATTTTTATGGGCCCATATATAACTTTCAACCAATTGTTTTATAAATTGTAGCCAACTTATATAAAAACAAATGATATAAAAACTAATTAGTGCGCCCCATAAACAATCCAACTATGGCAATTTCCTTAAAATTGATTAAATAAAAGACTTACTTGAATACTTAACGCTTTCTCAATCTTGGCAATGATCTTATCCATCGTAGGACGTTTCTTCGACTCCAAGTTAATGCACTGGTGTGCAATATCGTTAAACATATGAAAAGAATCCATATCAATACGATCTTTAATAACCGGATCAACTAGCTTCTTGAATACACCCGATTCGTCTTCATCATAGTAGCTTCGAACAAGGTCCAGTAGATATTGTTCCTTATCGTCTACAAAGCACCTTGCACGATAAGCTGGCATCCCACTTGAAATTTCAAAGAGTACCACTCCAAATGAGTATACGTCTGATTCTTTCAAGACTTCGTCTCTTTCATTGTAAATGGGATCAAGGTAAAACATCTTACCCGAAACCTCTGTAACAAGATGGGTATATGGCCGATTTCTTGTACCAAATCTTGACAAACCAAAATTAGAAATTTTGGCTTGCAGAATCTCATCCAATAATATATTTGCACTCTTCACGTCTCCATGAATTACTGTGTTGTTCTTCCCTAGAGCCGAATGAAGGTACTTGAGTCCTCTTGCTGCTCCTAAGCAAATCCTTAATCTTTGTGTCCATGTTATGCAACGCCACTTATTCGGGTCTTGGAGATGGCTATCAAGGCTTCCATGGATAGCATACTCATAAACTATGATCTTTTCATTGGCATCATCAGAGTAACCAATGAAGGGAATGATGTTTGGATGGTGGAAACTAGAAACCATGTTGAGTTCCTTATAGAACTCACTGTTTCCTTGATTCCCATTAAAGCGTTTGATGGCTACTGTGTGGTTTTTCCGGTGTTCAGAAAGTTGTCCTTTGTAGATCATACCAAATCCACCATCTCCGATCTGAGTTTCTGAGCTGAAGTTTTTTGTGGCCCGAATAATCTCCTCTAGTGGAATTCGATAGTTTTCTAAGTCTACCCTTGAAGAAGACATTGCTTTTCGATATATTTGATGATTAGGTATGTATGGAAAAAGCAGCTTTGTGATTCTGTTTATATAAACGAGACCAAGTTATCGCTTTGAAGCGCCTACCTGTATTGCACTAGGCTTAAAGAATATAATTATAAACCTTTGACCATAACCGTGTCCATGGTGGAACACGTATATTTGTTCATATTCCTGCCAACCATGTAAATTACAATTCGCATGTCAACTTTGAACAAATAACAAAGAATTAACAAACCATACACATGTAAATCAACAATAAAAAATATATTAAACTTCTTTTATCGAGAAAAGAGACAGAAATTGCAGAACAATCGGCCACTTCTAGACTTCTAGTTGAGTTTTTTTCTAAAATATATTCGACTGAAAATATAACAGAAATGACCTTAATATTTTTTCCCTCGAATTTACACTTTCAGCCCTTTAAGTTTTATTATTTTCACTGATATACCTGTGACCAAAAGTATGCCAACAGGAAGTTGTACACTTGTCCTTGACATCTTTTTCTTCAATTTTCATCACCTCAGTCTCAGCTGCATCACTTCCATTTATTAATATTCCAAAATCCAAACAAAACAATTAACCAACAGCCATAACTTTTTTTTCCGAAATTATTCAACACAAGCTAGAGTTTGAGTGCACAATTTTTAACAATCCTTTAATACTAAAATCCCCTTAATGCAGTCTTGCACATGATATTTCTTTTTTATGCAAGAGTTGTTTCTGGACCTGGTAGATGACTAGATGTGCCCTCGTCCAGAATAAGCAGGTTGTTCGTGTGCAAAGGCCCGGCTAAAATACAACTTGGTCCGACATACATATCCTCCTTTAGTAAACCACCTTGGACCACAATTCTCAACTACACAAGAGTTCCAATCTAGGCTTATGTAACATCTGGTATTGGGATATTTCTTATTTCAAAATGACAAACTTTAATTTGATCAAGAGAAGGGCTTTTAAGGTTAAATTTTGGACCTTTAAGAATAATGTTTTTTGGGTAAGGGTATAAGACTTTAAGACTTAAAGGGTTAGTTTTGGCTAGGAGTGATTTAGGCCTATGTTGTTTTGGGCCATGCTGGATCAAGCTATTCACGGCGCAAATGTTGGTGCATCCTAAACCCATGTACTTAGGGTTTTATCCTGTAATTAAAGGTGTTACCTCTGTATTTTTGGACATTTGCAACCCACATTCATATCAAAGAGCCTCTTTGGAGTACACCTAGCATCCATATTGTCCATCCTCCGTTCCCTTGCAAGTTTTTATGATCTTGGTGCTTTGTTTTTAAGATTGAAAAAGAAGAATGATCTCTTGGTGTTAGAGAGTTGTTTACCTTGGAGTCCATCTTCATCCAACCACTTATGGACTTTGGTATGATACAAAGCTTAGAACTTTATGCTTATTTCTTGCTAGATTTAGGTTTTTGGGTTGTTTTGTAGTATCTTCTTGGTCCTTTTTATGGTGTTCTTGGAGTTTGGAGAACTTCAAAAACATATGAATGAATAAATGGACTTCTAGACTTGCTTAGTGATGGAAAAATGATTGTTCTTGCTTGTCCTTAGGCCATGCATTGAGTTTTGTCATTATAAGTGGACTTTTGGACTAATGGCTTGAGATTTAGAGTTATTAAGCCATTGATATAGAAACGTTGAAAATTTTATCCATTAACTCTGTAACACCCATAAAATTCAAGCAAATTTAAAACTTTTTAAAACATCTAAAACCATTAAGTTATTACTGTTTATTTTCAAAATAGTTTAAACATCAGAGTATCACCAGAGTCAAATCATGAAAAATATAAAGAGGTACATGATCACGCCTTCACTTTCCCGCGATCATCAGAAGTACCTGAAACATAATAAAAAAACTGTAAGCCCGAAACTTAGCGAGTTCCCCCAAAATACCAACGACATACAAATATAATCATATCATATAAACAAACACAACATGCATGATGAGCCATCAGTTTGACTGGACCACCTCACAGGCCATCAGTCTCTCTGTACCACTCTCCGAGCCTTCGGCACGTCTGGACCGCCTCTCAGGGCCTTCAGCCTATCCGGACCACTCGTCGGGCCTTCGGCCTGACTATATGCCCTCTCAAGTATGCAGTTTATCCGGTCCGCCCTAGGTATTTTGGCATATAGCACGAAGCGGGACCTGCCTCAACCCAATCCCCCAAACCAACAAACATGTGCACATACATATAAATGAATAGTCATGCAGATCTAGCAGATCACTAATCATGGAAACCATCCTATAACTAGGATACCGATCTAGCCAATCACTAACATATCAACCATCCTATAACCAGGATATTAATCTAACCGATCTCTAACATAGCAACCATCCTATAACCATGATACTAATCTAACTGATCACTAACATAGTAACCATCCTATAACCAGTATACTGATCTAACCGATCTCTAACATAGAAACCATCCTATAACAGGGATACATATCATAAAGCATAACGTGCAATAAACCTGGATACAAATCTGAAAAGGACCGACATTGGTGCCTTTGACCCTGTTATTATAGTGAGGACAACTCACCTGGCACCGCTGTTGACAGATTTCCGAACTGTCAACATCAAACAATACCCAATTAATAATTGAGTTCCAAGCCCAAGGTACAACTCACACTCCAAATGCCCAATAGTCAAGTAATAAGCCAAATCCCAACATATAGCCTAACTTTCCAAATTAGGCCGAACCCTCTACATGGTATTACCTTAAACCCATCCATTTATTCTAGTCCAAACTCTTGGTATTCTAATGGCCCAATATCTCGTAATCATAAAGGCCTAATTATGGCCTATCTACGGCCTAATTTTCCAAATTAGGCCCAACTCCTTCACATGGGCCTTATCCTAAAGCCCATCCAATTATTTTAGTCTATTTACTTGTTCTTGGATAGCCTATCAATAGTCCAATCACCAAAGCCCAATAGGAAGGCCCAACTCAAGGCCCAAGTAAAATTAGGGTTTTCACATGAAATGATGATTAGGGTTAAGTGTTCCTACTTAACCCATTAAGTCCAATATTGCCTTAAGTTAATTGCAAAGGATTATTAATTAATATTTTAAGTTTATTAAATTATTCTAGTGTGGGTCCCGATCAAATCCCCAAAATTAGGGTTTCATGACATTAGGTTTTTCCAAACCCTAAGTAGGGTTTCCAACCTAAATATTAGCCTATTAGTCACATTGTTAGGCTTTTAGGTCAATTAGGGTTCATTGGGCTCATTAGGGTTAAACAAGTCAGGCACCACCCACTACCACCTCGGGTAGTGGTGATCAACGGCGGCTCACGGTGGCAGCCACCACCTCACGGTGGTGGTTATGGTTTTAGTCCAATTAAGTCCAAGCATCACAAAAGCAAACTAATCACGAGCAAAAGCACACCGCCACCCAACACGGCGGCTAGTGGCGGCAGCTACCACCCCACGATGGTGGTTAAGAGTTTTCTTTTTATTATACTAGCACCGATTACAATTTACAACACAAATCCCAATATCACACACATACACACTAATATAAACACACACAAACACAACCGCCCTGTAGTGGCAGGCGGTGGTCGGAGGTGGCAGCCACCACCTCACGGTGGTGGTAATGGCCCTCTTGTGATTTCCGACCAACTAGCCACGCACACCCACACTTCTTTTGTTCATAAAAGGAGTCCACCCACCTACCTGAAGGCGTAACGAAGCGATGATGGCATGAAATGGCAGCATCAACGGAGTTGACGGCGACGACCATAGCAACACTAACATCCACAATCAACGTTATCGGCGTCGGATGGAACGAAAGGAAGAAAGAGAAGGATGGTGACGGATGAAACAATGGAATGGTGGTGCATCGTCAACCGATGGCAGGGGCTCCTCCACGGTTTACTTTTCCAACATAGAGAGTCGCGGCGTTCGATGGTGGATGCATCTTCGATCGGTGTCAACCGCAGTGGCATGGCGGCTATGACGTGTTCTTCCTCACTCACGACTGATATGGCAGCATCCTACGTTGGTCTCTATCTTCAGCAACCATGGAATGGTAGCAGCAACACCACTCGACATGGTGACGGTTTTTCCGACACCTACAGCTGTGGCAGTGCCGATGGTGAAGGGTGGCGTAAGGGTGGTGCGGTGTCGGGAGTTGAAGAGGTGAGGATGGCGGCTGAAAGATTATACCCAGCGGCTGCTCCTTAGGGTTAGGGTTTGGACAAGGGGATGACAGGTTATATACCCGGCTCTCATAAACTTCTCCCCATAATGACACCTTTAGTCCCTCGTTCCCTCTTTCTTTCAATTTAAATCCTTAATTTACCATTTAAACCACTCCTTCTGAAAATCATTACAAATCAAGTCTGAAATATTTACCAAGCAGCCCCTAGTTGACAAATTCTTTTCAACTTAGGTACATAATTTACCCATTTAGCCATAGCCATCCAAAATCCTTTCATATTAATTCCAAATGATACCCAACACCCCCTGACTACTAAATTTTTTTTACAAAATAAGTCCTGAAATTACACTTTAACCCCCGGAGATTCAAATCTTGTCATTTGGCTCCTCGAAACCAACACCCTGCTAATTATTATTTTATTTTGGGCTGTAATAATATAAAATAATAATAATAAATACCTCTCGAGGTTCCGGGTTTATTATTTAATTATTTTATTTTAAATGGAATGTTACAAACTCATTGTAGGGTACTAGATCTGAGAATTGGAACCTCTGTAATTAAGTATTTAGAGCTTAATGAGTTAATTTGTTTTGATGAAAATCACGGTAAAACTTGTTTAGGGTTACACGAAAATTTTGAAGTGTTCCCAACTATTTTGTCATTTAGTGGATCACGACATGGCCAGTCAAGGGTTGTGGCATGCAGGTCGTTGATCGTTGACTTTGACCTTGTCTGTTGACTTTTTTTACCAATTTGACTTTTAGGTCAAACTTGTAGGTTTTGAACTATAGACCGTGGTTTAGCC